GTTTTTTTATAGTAGAGGGTTTTACGGCGCTCGCAACTGCATAAGGTCATATGAGCGCCAAGGGGTGGGTGTCAACAGAGAAGTCTTTACAGGGAATCAGACTTACTCTGCTCACCTCTCTAGCTTCAACAGCACAAAGTCTGCTTCGACTATCAAGGCACCCCGGAAATAGCAGGTCACAAGAGAGTGACAAACATACAAAAGAAGTAGAGGAAAATGACGTATAGTAAGGATTAGGAAAGAAAAAGCAGCAGTTCCCTGTTGTAGATCAGGCACAGTTATGAGCGTGATATGAGTCAGCCCATTTACAGTTCTACTATGATTGAATGAGAAATGTCCTCCCTTTGGGAATGGCTTAAAGACACTACAGTCAGTGGCACTGCCCCGGGGGGAATGGCCTAAAGACACTACAGTCAGTGGCACTGCCCAGGGGGGAATGGCCTAAAGACACTACAGTCAGTGGCACTGCCCCGGGGGGAATAGCCTAAAGACACTACAGTCAGTGGCACTGCCCCGGGGGGAATAGCCTAAAGACACTACAGTCAGTGGCACTGCCCCCGGGGGGTGTACACTACAGTCAGTGGCACTGCCCCGGGGGGTGTACACTACAGTCAGTGGCACTGCCCCGGGGGGTGTACACTACAGTCAGTGGCACCTCCCCGGGGGGTGTACACTACAGTCAGTGGCACCTCCCCGGGGGGTGTACACTACAGTCAGTGGTCACTGCCCCGGGGGGTGTACACTACAGTCAGTGGTCACTGCCCCGGGGGGTGTACACTACAGTCAGTGGTCACTGCCCCGGGGGTGTACACTACAGTCAGTGGTCACTGCCCCGGGGGGTGTACACTACAGTCAGTGGTCACTGCCCCGGGGGATGTACACTACAGTCAGTGGTCACTGCCCCGGGGGATGTACACTACAGTCAGTGGTCACTGCCCCGGGGGATGTACACTACAGTCAGTGGTCACTGCCCCGGGGGGGGGGGGGTACACGTGTAGAAAGACTTAGGGAGAGAAAGGAAGAAACGCATACATTTGTGAAGATGTGGAACCGGCCAGAGGGTTCTGGGTTCCTCCCACGCACAGTTTGGTACGTACAGTGGACGCCAACGACTGAGTTCTAAGTAATAGACAAGTCCATGTTAACAATTCCCACAACGACGGTGATCAGACGTCAGGCTACTAATTCAAACACAGTATCTTACTGACTAAAGCCAGGGGAGTAAAATACCTGAAAACATATGCATGCTATCAATTAACAACAATGCTTTCAACATTTATTCACACACACACACACACACACACACACACACACACACAGACAGACAGACAGACAGACAGACAGACAGACATGTATATATATATATATATATATATATATATATATATATATATATATATATATATATATATCTGTAGTAAGTGTAACTGAGGTTGTAGGACGTACATCTTGCTCCTCTTTCAGCGTCAGTTCTTTCTCTCTCCTCTGCAGGCGCTTGGCCTTTTTCTTCAGTTTCTGTGAATAGATGAGAGACAAGATGAGAGACAAGATGAGAGACAAGATGAGAGACAAGATGAGAGACAAGATGAGAGACAAGATGAGAGACAAGATGAGAGACAAGATGAGGGACAAGATGAGAGACAAGATGAGAGACAAGATGTTAATTTGGCCCCACCACGGCCCCACGGCCACGTACTGGCAATGAGGTCATGGGAATGGGTCATACCACATACTGGGAATGGGGTTATGCCACGTACTGACAATGAGGTCATGGGAATGGGTCATACCACATACTGGGAATGGGGTTATGCCACGTACTGACAATGAGGTCTTGGGAATGGGGTCATGCAACATACTGGCAATGAGGTCACGGGAATGGGGTCATGCCACGTACTGGCAATGAGGTCATGGGAATGGGGTCATGCCACGTACTGGGAATGAGGTCATGCCACGTACTGGGAATGAGGTAATGGGAATGAGGTCATGCCACGTACTGGGAATGGGGTCATGCCACGTACTGGGAATGAGGTCATGCCACGTACTGGGAATGAGGTCATGGGAATGAGGTCATGCCACGTACTGGGAATGAGGTCATGCCACGTACTGGGAATGAGGTCATGCCACGTACTGGGAATGAGGCCATGCCACGTACTGGGAATGAGGTCATGCCACGTACTGGGAATGGGGTCATGCCACGTACTGGGAATGAGGTCATGCCACGTACTAGGAATGAGATCATGGGAATGAGGTCATGCCACGTACTGGGAATGAGGTCATGGGAATGAGGTCATGCCACGTACCGAGAATGAGTTCATGCCACGTACTGGGAATGAGGTCATGGGAATGAGATCATGCCACGTACTGGGAATGAGGTCATGCCACGTACTGGGAATGAGGTCATGGGAATGAGGTCATGGGAATGAGATAATGCCACGTACTGGGAATGGGGTCATGCCACGTACTGGGAATGAGGTCATGCCACGTACTGGGAATGAGGTCATGGGAATGAGGTCATGCCACATACTGGGAATGAGGTCATGCCACGTACTGGGAATGGGGTCATGCCTCGTACTGGGAATGGGGTCATGCCAGGTACTGGGAATGAGGTCATGCCGGGCACAGGGCAGAGTGGATCACGTCTGAGCGAGCGTGAAGATATCTATAGATGCTCCACTTGGAGTGGCTTCCCTTGTTCTTCAAACGTTGTGTTTCTTTCTTGTTTCCCGTGACGAGGATAACGCTAGGTGACTTCTCTTAGACAATCAGGGAATTGAATACACACAGCATGTAAGCTATCCGTATCTTGGCTGAGCGCGTTGAGACTCAAAAGTCAAAGGGCAGTTTGGTGACAACACACTTGCAAGTACACAGCACGGGAGACAGCCTTACAACGACAACACACATGTGTACACAGCACGGGAGACAGCCTTACAACGACAACACACATGTGTACACAGCACGGGAGACAATCTTACAACGACAACACACATGTGTACACAGCACGGAGACAATCTTACAACGACAACACACATGTGTACACAGCACGGAGACAATCTTACAACGACAACACATATGTGTACACAGCACGGGAGACAATCTTACAACGACAACACACATGTGTACACAGCACGGGAGACAATCTTACAACGACAACACACATGTGTACACAGCACGGGAGACAATCTTACAACGACAACACACATGTGTACACAGCACGGAGACAATCTTACAACGACAACACACATGTGTACACAGCACGGAGACAATCTTACAACGACAACACATATGTGTACACAGCACGGGAGACAATCTTACAACGACAACACACATGTG